ATTCCTCTTCAATTTGTCATTTCCGGCGTAGTAAACCATGTGGTTGTCAGATTCAAAATGGCCAATACCAGTCCATTTCAGCTCACTAATGCCTAAAATATCAATGTTTATGTGTTCCATTTCATTTTTGACAACTTTCAATATTCCCAGATTCATACTTCATACATTCCATCTTCCGATTTTCAATGGATATTCACAGCTGTTTCTCTTCATTTTGAGCTATGACCCATCAGCAAATGAAGTTCCCGCAGGGTTTACTCCATTCACGTCATCACGGTCAATTCTGCTTTGAGGCAGCAGCTCTTCCCCAGTCACATTGTGAATGCCTTCCAACCTGAAGGGCTCATTTTCTGGCACTATATCTGACAGTGTTTCTCTGCTATTCACAAGGTTTTCAGTGACTAAATATTTGGAAATAGTTCGTCACTCCTTCTTCCTAGTCTGTCATCGTTTGGAAGCTCATCGGAAACCTGTCCACCATGGGTGACCCTGCTGGTATTTAAAATACCTGTGGCATAGCTTTCAGAATCACAGCAACTCACAAGCCACCACAGTATGACAAACTGACAGATGAATATCTCCACTTATCTATTTATCCATTCTTCCATCCACCTATCCACCCAATAAGATATGGTTCCTACACTCAGAGAACATGCTGTCCAGTGAGGAGAGACAGGTGAACACGCAGATACTAAACTGAAATACGTGCTATGGGGGGGATTATCACAGACTGTGGTAGCATCAAGGAGAAGCAGACCCAGCCTGGGGTGGAGGCAAAGGGCAGGTGAAAGGGAAGACATCCTGGGAGCGTGGGTATACGGTTAAGAACTGAAGAACAAGTAGGAGTGTGCTAGACACGGGTTGCGAGAGGCTTGGAGTGGGGAGAAGACACTACTACAGCACATACAATGGCTCAGAGACAGAGACCCTGGGGAATCAGCCAGGTCACTGTCCAGTGGCCAGTTTTGTGCCTAGAACCACTGTGTTTTGTGAGTGATCAAGACTCACAACACACAACCCCAATACTTTTGCACTGATTTTCAAAGATACAAAGAGATTGATGCAATTAATCAAAGCCAAATTCACTTAGAAGTGCTCCTGCATTTATAACAGCTGTATATTTTTGATCACTGTGTATTTCTCAATCAAGTGATGACAAATATCTCCTGTTATATGCCCATGTTAGGTTGGACCCCAGTAGCCGCTGCCCAGGATTCTGCTTGGTTGTGCCATGGGCACCACTTACCACCTCTGATCTGTGCTCCCCTCAGCCAGGATGCCTGGAGCAAGCCCTGGGGGTCTGCTTTGTCTCTTCTCCTTCTTCAGTCCTCCATGATCATATCTTGTCAACTCTGTCTTTCCAGGGATTCTGGCTCTATCCTGTTAGCTCTCTCTCAGTGGCCAATCCCTGGTCCAGACTGACATCATGCCTAGGAGCTATTGTTCCAGCCCCAGACCTGGTCTTTGCCATCTCCCCCTCCTACTTCAGGTCAATCCATAGCTCCTCCCAGTGGACCCAGCCTCCTCTGCACACCCTCTCCCCTGGCACTTCACATTCAGTGTTATGACCCTAACCCTGAAGGGCCCTGATGTGCCAGGCTTGCACTCCTTTGCCTGGAACACCTACTCCTTCCTCTGTCCCTAACTGGCCCTCATTCATCAGATCTTAGAACTCAGCACCTCTTACAGGAAGCCCACCCTCAATCCTCAAGAGCAGCTGGGTTTCTATAGGATTCAGCATGCTGGTACCTAAATTGCCTGTGTTCCTGGATTAGGAGTCCCGTGAGGGCAAGGACTTGCAATCTCCCATCCTCACCAGGGATTGGATGTGGTAGCTGCTGAGTATGAGAATGTGGAATAGAGGGAGGAAGAGAGGAGAGATGGAGAAAGGGAGGAAAGGCCGAGTATCACACCCCTCCACATCTTGACTCTCAGTTCAATTCCACCCCCACGCACAGACCTGCTGGACCCCCTCACCTGCAGCCTCCCTCACTGAGCGAGTGGAACCCAGGTATGCACCGGTCACACTTCCAGCCTGTCACGGTGGGTTTGCAGGCGCAGGTGCCCGAGCCATCACACTGAAGGTGCAGGGAGCCTGGTGGAGGAAGGGCGCAGGGCAGCGTGGACTGGACAGGTGAGAGTGGGGTGGGAGTGGGGCTCTACTCACCTGCCAGATGGCAGTCACATGGCTGGCATGGCATCTGTGTGTCCCATCTGTAGAAGTTCTCCTGGCAGTGCTCGCAGTATGGGCCAGCAGTATGGTGGCGACAGTGGTGACAGCGACCACCATGCCCCGTGCTTCGGTAGAGCTCCCGGTCAAACGAGCATTCCTCCGAGTAGCCATTGCAGTTGCAGGCTGGGTGAGGGGGGTGAGAGGTGGAGGTGTAAGTGGCCAGCTCAGCTCTCCCTTTGGTGGGTGATGAAAACAGCTCCTGGCACATGGTAGGAGGAGAGTGAGTGCCAGCCAACCTCCATGTACCATAGCAGGCAGCTCCAAGGAGGACAAGAACATGATCCAGGACAGGGTTCCAGCCTAGCCTGGCCAGTGGTATGAAGACCAACTGGCTATCCAAAACAGGACACTCTTAGGAGCAAAGGAAGCACCATTAATAAATACATCAAAACATCAGGCATAGACAGGAGCACCCCAGGTCCCCGACTGGTCTAGAGTTGCAATGTGGCTCATTCCAAAATTTCCTGCAGACTCTCCAAGCCATGACTGTGTGAATCTGGTCTCCAGCATATCAAAAGTCCCAGCCACTCAGGCTCATGAAAAACACAAGTCACTCTTCCTTCACTCATTAACTCATTATGCAAAATATCAGCTCTGTATGGCAAGTCCAAGGGGGTGTACCAGTGGTGGCCATGGACCTGGTTCCTGAGCCCAGGTTGCCCAGTCCTCACGCCTGTGCACACAGGGAGTGAGTGAGAAGCACGTGGGTACAGGAGGGTGATAGAAGCATGGGGTGGGGAAGGGATGGTACAACTGTCCTAGGGGTGATGCATCTAGCCATCGTGGAGGAAGTCACAGCTAAGCTGAACCTGAAAGGTAAGCAGAAAGGAGTTACCAGGTGAAAGGGGAGGTGTCCTAGCAGGTGATGTAAGGCAAGAGATAAAAATTATGAGGCCAGACTGTGACTGTTGCAAAAGCAAAGGTAGATGTTCTGTAACAAAAAGAGGGGAGTGGTTGATCTTGCAGGCCAGGAGCGGAGGACCCTGGGACCATAAAGGGAGAAGAGCAGGAGGGGAGTGTGGGACTCTATTCAGAGAAGCAGTGATGCCAGAGATGGAAGCAGAGATGACATGGAGAGATGGAGCAGCTGGGAACTCTAGACTCATGGAAGGAGAGGGGCTGTGTGCTGGAGGCTGGTGGGGGGCAGGCTTGCAGGGTACACCCTTTGGTTGTTTGCATGATTATATATTCCTGAGTGTTTTAGTGTACAAGAGGGAATAGAAGCAAATACTGTTGAATGATAATGCATTCAGGGGATTGTAATCATTGCAATGAAACAAAATATGATAGGATGAGTGTACAGCTGATGTTTTCTCATGTAAACAAACTATCACTCAGTTCACAATAAAAACTTAAAAAAAAAAAGGTGAGTCCAGTGTGGGGGTGGGGAACAGTGTGCCCTTTGGGGACGGTGTGGGCATGGTATACCTTTGACCAAGAGCCAGGCTGGGCAGGAAAGGCATGCAGTGTGATGGGGCAGGGAGAGGGGATTGGGGCAGCTGTGAGGTCTACAGAGCTTGGTCCGGGAGACTGAGCAGCATACTGAGTGGACTTTGCCTTTGAGCAAGGGGACCCATGGAAGGGTTTTGAGCAGAGGCTGGACATATCGAATCTCTACTTCAGAAGTAGCCTCCAGCTGTGGGTGGAGAAGGGCTGGAGGCAGGGAGAGCAAGGACAAGGGAGCTTCAGGCACCAAGCGGGGAGGTGATGGGGCCTGGACCAAAGACAAGTTGTATGGATCAGAGCGATGTCAACAGAATCTGGGAGGCTCAAGCATGAAGTCCTAGCTTCTAGGCTGGTGACAGGAGGACAGAGGTGTAACCACAAAGATGAGGACACTGGCCTTTGTTGGTGTCCCTGTGGTAGAGCCAGCCCAGTCTCCCGTGCCTGGAGGGCGACCTTGGTGGCGGTAGGCCAGTAATGGCAGCAAGAACCTATTAGAGCCAAGGCCGCACAAGGCAGCTCCTGTCGACAGCACTCTGTCCAAGGAACAAGTTGTTCCCTTCCATCCCAGCCGTGGCAGCCTTCGGCCCCAGCCCAAGAGAACAATGGGGCCCACAGGTCAAGGCTGGTCAGAGGCACCTCCATACAAAGATGTTCCAGTGCCCCAAGACACCAGAACACACAGAGCAACTAAAGAAAACTACCAGATAGCTGTCTGGGAGAGAAAGGGCAGAGCTGGGCGGGGTGTGGGAGTCTGGGCAAGCTGATGTGTCAGGCTGGGGGGAAGGCAGTGGTCCCCCAAGTGGCTCCCCATCACTGGGAAAGGCATGACGGCACCTTCGTCTCCACAGAGTATCTCTGAGGTTTGGCAGGCAAAGCCACATCACTCAGGGGGCTGGGACATCAAAGGGTTGCCTGGGGCTGTGGGAAAGGCTGGGTGGGCAGGTCAGTAGCCACCCCACCCCCCACCCCCCACCGAACTTGAGGTGGTCTGGTTTTGATTAGCAATTAGGATTGGAACAGTGAAACCAGAGGAACAAGTTGGTGGAGTGCTGCTGTCTCTCCCACCATGGGCACCTCTACTGGGGTGGACTTGGCTGAGGAAGGGGGGCTGTTCATGGGGGGAAATGGAAACTTCAAGGTCCCTTGGCTCCCCTGCAGTGATGAGGGGCTCAGAACCCCAGCTGCCAACTAGGCCCACCCAGGCACAGACCCTTGGCCAGGGTCAGGGGAGTTTATTCCACCTGGACACTCACGCAAACACTCGTTGGCCGCCTCGGCTGTGCTGCGGGCCCAAGGGCGGTCCTGAAAGAAGGGCAGGCAGCGCTCACAGTCTGGGCCTGTGGTGTTGTGTTGACACCGGCAGGCCAACTGGCCTGTCTCGCTGGGGCTGCACTCGCTGGCATGACCATTACACTTGCACCTGGGAAGAGAGCATGGAGGTGGATGATTCAGGGGCTGTGGGAAGAGAGGACTGCAGGCAGACAGGTAAGCCCTGCAGGTGTGAGGTTTATCGAATGCCTGCTGTGTGCCCTTGGAAACTGTAAGAGGGGAGCTTCAAAAAGTTCATGGAAGAATGAAACTAAAAGAGAATGTAATTCTTCCATGAATTTTGTAGACAAATGCCTGCACCAGGCATTGCGAGTTCTATGCTCTGTATACTTTGAAATCCACTTCGTCTTCATGGTCCCTTACGATCCTTATTTAACATAAGAAGAAACTGAGGCACAGAGAAGTTGACTAAGGCTAGTAAGGGGCAGAGTAGCTGCCACCCAAGGTTTCTGCCAGTGAGGAGCCCTCCTAGGGATTAAGAGGGACACAGAGACAAATCGCCTCGGTCTCTGTCTAGAGGGATGGGCATGGGAGGGGTGACCAGAGAGGCTGCCTCATCCAGGCTCCTTTAACTGTGTCTCAAAAGAGCAGAAAGAGGCTGTCAGCTCCCAATTGTCCCAAATCCCCAATAGTCTGTTTTTGAGGGCAGCCCTGGGCCCATGTCCTCACCCTCTTCAACCTTCTCACAGGATCAGATAGGCTCAGGAGGGAACAAAGGGGTTTTCAGCGGCTGCAGAACAAGCTGGCTGACCTGACCCAAGGGGACCGATACCCTACCCAGCCATCACCTCATCCTGAGCGGCCAGAATGAGATTAGAGGATGACCACAGTTTATGGTTGGTGGCCTTACTCTGTGTTCAGCCCCAGACTGAGCAGTCAGCTCACATCTTCTTATTGGTGGGAGGAGCTGTTATTACTCCCATTTTATGCATGAGGAAACTCAGGCTCACGCCCATAAAGTTACAGATGCTAGGTAGCAGAGCTAGAATCCTTCTATCTGAATTCACAAAGACCTTGTACTCCAAGGTATGTCTTTAAAGTCATGTGGCAGCTCCCTGTAGTGGGTTGAATGGTGTCCTCCCCAAATCCACGTCTACCTGGAACCTCAGCATATGAACTTATTTGGAAATAGAGTCTTTGAAGATGCAATTTATTAAGATGACATCATCCTGGATTAGAACGGGCCCTGAATCCAATGACTGGTGTCCTTATAAGAAGACACACAGCACCACACCAAGGGAAGATGACCGTAAGATGGAGGCAAATATTGGGTTGATGCAGCCATAAGTCAAGGAATGCCAAGGATGTTCTGTGAGCCACCAGCAGCCAGGAAGAAGCAAGCATGGATTCTGTGCTGAGTCTCTAGAAGGAACATGGCCCTGAAGACACTTGGATTTTAGACTTCTGGCCTCCAGAACTGTAACAGAATAAATTTCTGTTGTTTCAAGCCACCTCATTTGTGGTACTTTGTGACAGCAACCCCAGAAAACTAATATGCTCCCCATAAGTCGTGTTCCACACCCTGTCCTCAGTGGTTGTTGTGGAATTGCTGAACACAGCAGCCAGGACCCTGGTGCTTTCTCTCCGGTGGAGACACAGGGCTGCGGAGGGGTACAGGGCATCACTCGCTCCCAGGTCTCCAGCAGGAACTCAAAATAGGGTGGCAGTATCCAGCACTTCTGGTGGTCAGGGTGAGGTGGGGATCAGGCAGTTGTGGGACACAGCAGTCCAGAGCAGTGACAAAGGAGAGCCCATGTTCCTGGAGGGATGCTACAAATACCTCCTTCCCCCATTAAGCCCTCTGACCCAGGGGAAGGAGACTGAGATTCCTGGAGGACAATGTGGAACACAGACTGCTCGAGTCACCTGCCCCCACCCGTGAGCTGGCTTTCCCAGCCAGCTGCCACGCTGAGGGTGGTCTGGCTCATCACAGCTGGGACCCAGATGTTCTCTGGACCAAAGCCCCTGACAGCAGCCGCTGGAACTCACAGCCATCTGCTATCCTAAGAGAGCCCCCCTCCCACGAGGCCAGAATCCTATCAAGTGGGACTGCTATTGGGGAGAACAGAGAAGTTCTCACAGAGAGGTTCTTACCAAACCCCCCTCCATACCTTCCTTTACTCCCCAGCCTTCCCTGGTAGGTGTAGACACTCTGAAGCACAGGCGTTGGGCCCATGTTCCACTTTATGCCTCCCCCATCTTGCTGAGCATCACCACCAGAATCATGGAAACGAGAAAGGTGGCATCATCCTGGTACTTCCTATCCCCCCTGCCCCTTGCTTATAAGAAGAGCTGATTTTCTTTCCTAAATAGCTTCAAAACCAGTGCAAATACCTTCCCACCCCTCCCACTCCTCCTGCCCACTCACCAGAACCCACTCCCTGGCCCAAGCTGCCCTAATCTCCCAATTGACTCCTACAATGGCTGCTGCCTCTCATCCAGGCTTCCTCTCATCTCTTATCCCTTCCCACACACAGCAGGGGGTTTGGGTATTTTTTTTTTAAATCTGAGCCTTGCTTGCTTGTTGATGTTAGTTCCTGCCGATTCAAACTCTGACTCACAGCACCTTATGTATAACAAAAGGAAACGCTGCCCAGCCCTGGGTCGCCTTCATGATTGTGCGTTTGAGTGCACTGTTGCGTCAACTCATCTCACCAAGGGATGTCCTTGTTTTGGCTGGCTCTCTGTTACCAAACATGATAATGTTCTCGTCTAGAGAATGGTTGTTTCCCGATTATGTTCGCAAACTCAATGAGTTGAAGTCTCACCATCCTTGATTCCAAGGAACGTTCTGGTTGTATTCCTTCTAAGGCTGATTTTTTGCTTCTTTGGGTGGTGGAAGTAGGTAGGTGGTGGTGTGCCATTACCATAGTATATTCGATATTTTTTGCCAACACACTGCAAATGCATCCAATCTTTTTTAATGGGCCAGCTTCCACATTGATGTGAAGCCAATGAACAGACCATAGCTTGAGTCCAATGCACCTAAGTCTTTCAAAAGGTTAAAGAGCAATTCTGTTGCTACATGGTTCGAATCCTTGGACAGCTTCCCAATGACCGTGTGATATGAATAAACTTGGTCTGTGGCCCACAAGACCCTGACAAATTTCCAGCCTCATCTCCCACCTCGCCCTATCCTGCCACACCATTCCTTTCCTAGCTCCTTGATTCCCAGCCTTTGCACATGCTGGTGGTATGGAATGCCCACCTCGCTAACGCAAGCCTGGGCTCTGCCTGCCAGCCTCAGAGCAGTGTCCTGAGTTTTACACACACGTTAGCCTGTTCCTCCCTGTCCCCATCATTCTCTATGTGCTTATGCTTTTATTGGGGAGATACTCTGATCAGTATGTGCTACCTCATAAGCTAGGGCAGGGACACATCTGCCTTCCTTTCTGGGGACACCATACTGGCATACAGATATGCCCCAAATGATGGTGCAGACAGGACCAGAGCTGCCCCTCCTGGCTGCAGGGCTTTGGGTAAGTCACGGGAGCCCTCTGTGCTTCTCTTAGCTGTAAAATGGAGCTGGTAACACGTGGTGGCTGTGGAGCTTCAAAGCGGCTGCCCAGTGCTCCGCATGGAGCCTGGTGAGCAAGATGTTCTACAGATACTGCTGATTCACATCCCTGGAAGATGGCAGGAACAGTCATAGGGGAGGTTTTTCCCTCTCTTCGTGCCCTATTTGCCCTCCCCTAACTCCAAGGTGTTTCTGGCTGCAGGGAAGCAGAAGTTACCTGGGGCAGCCACCGTTCCCAGCTTTCATATGCAGAGGTCTGAGAGCAGACTGAGAAAGGGACAGGAAAGGGGCTGTGGAAGGCATAGGGATCCTGTGGGCAGGGCTAGTGGGGCCTGGGATGCTGAGCCTGGGTGTCCAAGCAGTCAGCTGCCTCCTACCAGGAGGTTTGCAGAATGGGCTTGTTTTCTGCTCTGAGTCCCTGGGAGGGGAGGGGCCTCAGAACCCCTTGCGTCAGTGTGGGGTCTGAGCTGAGTAACCTGGTATCTGAGCAGAGACTCAGAGCCTGTCAGTCTCAGGGATGGTATGGCACCTTTTGGGGGAGGTGGAGGTGAGCATCCCCTGTAAGGTGGATCAGGGACAAAGTGGAAACAGCCTACATTTCCCAATAGCTACAAGATGTGGCCAAGGGGCAGTCACTGACAGAGCCTCTCATTTGCTGCCCTTGCTGGTGCTGGCCAGCTCTCAGCTGTGAGATGCTGGGAGAAGGCTTACACAAGTAGTCAAACCCAGAGGGACTGGTGGCATTGGGCTGACAGGAGTGGAGGGTGACAGGTGGCTCTTCAGTATCAAAAGTCACACTCTGGCCCACCCCTTCCAACTTCCCTCCTCCCTACCCTCAGCCCAAGCCCCCTGCTCAGCCTGTCTCCCACACGGAAAGTGATAAGCCTGCCACAGAACAAGCATCGCCACCAGCTACAGAATAAGTGCTTGATTAATGGTACTTGTATGAGTAAACAGTGAATGCCAGGGGCATGAGGAAGGGGCTTCCTCCTTCTCTCTGCCACACTGTTGATCTTCTTTTCAAAGAAAGAGCCTGTTTATGTGGACGACCACATCTGTGCCTTCACTCACACCACAGTCCTTCCTGAGCACCATGGACGGGGTGTCAAGGTGAGACCCACAGCCTCTGCCTTCTGAGCTGTCCTGCTCCTTACAGAGGGAGAGGTTCAAACTGACAAACCACAACGTGTACAGACGGATGCTGAGAGAAGAATATGGAACCCGAAACCTGGGTCCCCATGCAGAGTCCCTCTAGGTGGTGTAGGCGAAGCAGGAGCATTTCTCATTCAAGAAGATGCGGACAGACCCCCAGGCAGAGAGAGCAGCAGGGCAAAAACCTGGTGTGTCTGCAAACAGGGAGCAGCTCCATGGGGATTCCCCAGAGAAGCAGCGGGAAGCACACATCTGGGGTGATGGGAGGGCCCTGGCTCCCCATTTTCTCCCTGGGGCCCCAGAACTGGCTTCTCTACCTTTTCAGTCACCACCACAGTGGCATCCACATGTTTTTATTTACTCCTGCCTCCCCTCTGGGTGTCAGCACCCGGCCTTCACCTACCTGCCACCCACAGAGAAGTCGGACACAGCATAGTAGTAGGACTGGAGCACCTTGGGGTCCTTGAAAATGTCATCCCCAAAGGTGTTGAGTCGGTCTAGGGAGATGAGGAGTTCGGTGCTGGTGACCCAGTCCTGGTGGGGAACAAAGGGGAGAAGAGAAGTTTCCTGAGTACATGCCCCTACCCAGCTCTGATGGCAGACTCTGCCGGCCATGCTCAGGGGATCCTGCGGCATAGGGACAGGTCAAGCTCAGACAAACCTTCAGAACACAGCAGAAAGAAGGAGCCAACCTGAGTTCCAGGCCACTCATTGTCTGTACTTATTGTTTTAGAGCCTCTGTTTTCCCCATCTGTGAAATGGAACCAATGTGTCTACCCTACCAGGGTATCTGGGGGTCCACTGATGGTGGAGGTGTTGCTAGTGGGGCAGGGGTTCATGGAAGACTTCTTTTCCAGTGGCTCCAGAACCCCCATTCTAGAGCTCCATGAGTGAGGATGTGTTTCAGCACCCTTCTCCCCTGCTTGGCAGGCCTGTCTTAGGGTAGGGCTCATGGGCCGATTACCTCATGTGAGAAACGTTGTCAATACCCTGATACTGCCTCGGTTCCTCTTGGTAACTGGCAGGTTGGTATAAATCCACAACTAGGACCTTACTGCAATGGGTCTCTGGAGGGAAAACTGGGGTAGACCACCTTATCCCTTATGAGATTACTGATGAGTTATCATGAGTGTTTACTGGCAAATGCTCAAGAAATCTAATCTGTACTCATTATAGCGAGAGTGAGGCTATATTAGTCAATTTTGCAAAACCGGGCACCAAACCCAGAAGACAAGATGGGCAGGCGTGTAGCACAGCCATTTTATAAGTGCTTTTATCTCCTGGCTCGAAAGTCCCTCCTCTGGTTCCTCATTGGCTGAATACTATGGTGTGAACAATCTTCCCGGACATCACCTATTTCATTTTTATGGTTGCATTCTTATTTTAAAGTTCCTACTTCTGAACAGGTTCCCTCCCTCCCTCCCCATATTCATCCTATTTACCCATACCCTAGGTGCCTGGGTTCCTGGTGGTGTATCAGCCAACAATCTGTGCCTTGGTAAATTATAGCTTCTTGGACCCTTGTTTCCTTATTCCTGAAGATAGACAAGTTTGGGATTTATCTCTCATATCCTTATGAGGATAAGTCAAAAAGTATTGTCACAAAATCATGGAAACCTTTATTAAGCAAGAATATAAAAATGTGAAGCTATTGTTTCTCCATATATCCTCCATCTAGGTCTACAAAAGGAGCTCTAGTAGCATAGTGGTTACGAATTGGGCTATGAACAGCAAGGTCAGCAGTTCGAAACTACCAGCTGCTCCACAGGAGAAAGATGAGGCTTTCTGCTCCCGTAAAGATTTACAGCCTCGGAAACCCTGTTCAGGGTTGCTATGGGTCAGATCCAACTTGATGGCACTTAACAACAACAACAACAACTAGGTCTACACACTTTTGAAGGAGGTGTTTCTATCCCTCTAATGTAGAAGACTGATGCATCTGAGTTATGGTATTTGAGGAGAATATTAAAAGTACCATGGACTGCTAGAAGAATAAACAAATTTAAGTTGGAAGAAGTACAGCCATAATGCTCCTTAGAAGATTTCGTCCCTCATACTTTGGACGGACGTATTATCGGGGGTCCAGTCTCTGGAAGAGGGCATTATGCTTGATAAAATGGAGAGTGAGTGAAAAAGAGGAAGGCCCCCACCCCCACCCCAGTGAGATGGACTGGCACAGTGGCAGCAGCAATGGGCTCAAGTGTAGCAATGATTCTGAGGTTGGCACAGGACCAGGCAGGGTTTTGTTCTGTTGTACATGAGGTTGGTGCTGACTCAACAGCACTTAACAACAGGAACAAACTCTTCCCTGAAGAATTCTGCTCTCTTAGATTTACACCATGTTACTTGACAGTTTGGGCACCCAAAAGGACTCAAATTGTGTTCCTTTTAAATGTTTCTTGAGTTTGGGGAACAAAAAGAAGTGTGAAGGGACAAGATCAGGGCTGTAGGATGAACGGGATAAGGTTTCCTAATGGAATATTCCTAGGACAGCCCTTAGTACGGTAGAAGAATGAACAGGTTCATTGTTGTGAATGGAAACATACTAGCCTTTTTTCCACTAACACAGCTTTCTATTTTCTTAAAACTTCTTCACAATAAGCCCCTGTGATCATCCTGTATCATCTGAAAAAATCTATTAAGATTTGGAATCCAAAAAACAGTCACCATAAACTTCTGAGCTGACCTCTCTTGAATTTCACCGACCCAGCAGATCAGTTCATAAACCACTATTTTGATTTGATTGGACCTTTGTTTTGAAGGCCCTGGTGTGACACTGGGTTAATGCGCTGGACTGCAAAGTTGGTTTGAACTACAAAGTTGGCAGTTCAAGCTCACCAGCCATTCCTCAGAAACTCTATACAGGATCTCTATGGGTTGGAACCCACTCGACGGCACTTAACGACAACAACAAAGGGTACTAAGACAAGTGTATTATTGAGAGACCTTGATTGTCGCCATCTACTGATCTCAGAGACATGCTTACACATGTTTTGCTTGGAATAAACCTGTGTATGTCTAAACTGAAACCCTAGTAGGAATACTGTTTGTACTTGTGCTTACCTATTAATCTGCAGTGAACTATTTCGCAAGAATCTCTGTCAGGGATTGTAAATTTGAAGAGACTTTGTGTGGAAAATGCTATGGAGTTGGAAGAAAGGTATATGCCAGCTATACATAGAAGCAGTCTTTGATATGGTGAAAAAATGTAGAATTGTTCACCATAGATTAGTAAGTAAGCATCAGTAAGCCTATGCTTACCTTGTTTATTGGGTAATCCCATCCTGACAGGCCCCAGAGTCTTTCCTACCAGAGTGTAAGCCCCTCGAGAGCAGGGACTTGGGGTTCCTTGTTCTCTCTTGTATCCCCAGTTCCCAGCGTCTCTCTGCCTAGCACATAGCAGGCACTTGATACATCACTTGTTGATCACTGAGTGAACAACTTCCCTACGGAAGAGCTTGGTGGGAAAGTGGGGGCGGACCCACGTGAAGGCTGACATTTTGATCCGCCTGCTGTTACAATCAGAAGTAGCTCCGGCTGAATTCTAATCAGCATTTTAATTCTGCCCAGGAGCCCCTGGTTTAACAATCAGGCTCCTCAGTCCGGAGAGGGAGCTCCTGGCAAAATCTGTGTTTTCTTCCCAGCAGAACTCGGGCCAGCGGGCCTCTTTAGCTCACACTGAGATTGGCAAACCATGAGCCCTCTCTGCCTGGGACCTCTGTCTCAGGGTGCTTGGGCAGGATCAGAAAACTTGAGTGGGCCCCTCAACATTTAGCAACGGCAGGCACTTTAACAACAACAAAGCTTGAGTTTGCAAGTCTCCATTACTTCTTGCATCACTTAAGTCTGTGTTTTGCAAGAGGGTAGTGTACCTTCAACTCACCCAGGGAGCTGGTTAGAATGCAGATTCTAATCAGGGGCCTGGGATGTTGCATTTCTAGCAAGTGCCCAGGAAGGTCCAAGCCTCTGAGGCCTGAGGTGGGAAAATCCAGCACTCCATAGATGAAGGCAATGAGGTTTTGTTTTGCCTTTCTCCAGAAAATGTGCCACCAAGAGAACTCAAACCAACCGGATGTCAGAGCTGGAAGATGCTGTCATAGCAGCTGACACTGAGTGCATGATTATTATGGGTTAGGCATGTTGTAGTCCTAAATCACTGGGTCCTCACAACAATCCTATGTAGCAGGCCCTGTCATCCCCCACTTTATAGGCAAGGAGACTGAGGCTTAGTGAAGTACAGATTGTTGTTGTTAAGTGCTGTCAAGTCGGATCTGACCCATAGCAACCCTGCATAAGGTTTCCAAGGAGCGAATGGTGAGTTTGAACTGCCGACCTTGTGGTTCAAGCTGACTTTGCAATCCAATGCATTAACCCACAACGCTACACCAGGACTCCCCAGATTACCACTGAGATCCCTCCCTAACCATGTCTCTAAGTTGAATTTGCAGGTAAGTCAGAACAAGTGCCTATGGTCTTTAGTGCAAGAAAAGCCATGCAGTCTTTTTGATGATTTGAAAGCTACCTGTGCAGTAGATGAAGGTGACTGTGATGGAGAATTTGTTGCTAGTAGGGACTGACTGGTTCAGTTGTTTCAGAGTGAGGGCAAAAAAAATCACGTAACATTAAAGGGCAATGGCATACTGGCAGCAGCAATGGGCAAGCCTAACAAGGATTGTGAGGATGCTGTAGGACTGGGCAGCGTGTCGTTCTGTTGTGCACAGGGTCACTGTGAGTGGGAACAGGCTCGACAGCATCTAACAACAATAGCAAGAAGCCCTGGTAGCATAGTGGGTTATGAGTTGAGCTGCAAACCTCAAGTTCAGCAGTTCGAGCCCACCAGCCACTCCTTGGGAGATGATGAGGCTTCCTGTTCCTGCAGTTTATAGCCTTGGAAACCCTACAGTGGGTTGTTATGAGTCAGAACCGAGTTGACAGCACACAACCACCACCAGCACCAAAGGGCAAGTAGGAGTCCTGGTATGACGATATAAGATAAGCACTGGAATGCTAACTACAAGGTGGTGGTTAGCGGTTCAAACACACCAGCTGTAAGAGTTGTCTGTAAATTGAACGTTGGTATAACATGGGACTTCCTGTATTCTGCTCCATCTGGCACACCTCACTTGACAGAACTGAGATTCAGCTCTGTTTTACCACAGGACTCAGGCCTTAACCCCTTAACTATGAGGCATCCAGTCTTCCGGCATCTACCCCAACACCCTCATAACACCAGGGGGGCCCAGAGAGGGCAAGGGCTTGCTCATGGTCTCCTAGTTGATGAGTAACAGAGCAGGGCAGGCACCCTTCCTCTGGTTCCTGCATCGATCGCCAAAGAGGGTAACAATGAACGAACAAAGTGAACCCAGGATGAGACCCCAAGATGGGCCCTGGGAGAGAAGAGGGCTTTGTTCCTTTAGTCCACACTGTAGGTGGCGGTCCCTGATGGCTTAAAAAAACAATATCAAAACAAAACACTGCTGTGGGTGGAGTTGATTCCCACCCACTCACAGTGACCCTATAGCACAGAGCAGAACTGCTCCCTAAGGTTTCTGAGGCTGTAATTCTTTATGGAAGCAGACTGCCTCCTCTTTCTGCTGACTGATAGGTTTGAACCCCCAACCTTGAAGTTAGCAGTCCCCCAACCCATCACACCACCAGGGCTCATTTGATGCCTTCAAATTTCATTGCAATAGCCCATTGCTTGTGCATAGTGGGGTTTTGATATGCCCTCAATGATCCTACCTTTAGGGCAAATCAAAACCCGGCTGTGCACAAGCAATGGGCTATTACAATCGAGCTACAACCATGAGTGGGCTCTGGGGTTTATGGTGGACAGATCCCTGGTCCCAGAACGTGTTGCTAAGGAGAGCAGGAGGTTCTCCCTTAGGAGAATCCAAGCGCTGTACTGCTGCTCTGTCCAGCACCACAGGGAGCTGGGGAGGATGAGACTGCCCCTCAACACTGGCCAGGCCAACCTTCTCCCCAAGATCCTTGTACCCTCTGTGGGGTATGAGAGAGGCATGAGATCCAGCAGCTGCCTGCACACATCCTTCATGGCCTCCCACCCCAAAACACTTGTGTTCTCCGAATAAGTGCCATCTAATGTGCAAGGAGGGGAGGAGGAGGAAGAAGTGCCAAGGCAAAACGTTCCATTCTTTGTCCTTCTCTGCCCTCAGTTTCCGCCTGGGAACAGCAGGGGGGATACTTCTGAAAAGGTCTTTTCTTGTCAGGAACCACATCCAGGATGTATGTGGCATTAGCCTCCTGTTAGAAACTGCCCCCTGCCAAGGGTCTCAGTTTAAGCCTCTCTTCAGGGAGGAGCAGCACAGATGCATGTCGAGCGACAGCCTGACCCCGGCCAATTTCTTCTATCCTAAAGAGCTTGGAGCCCCGTGGAGAAGAGGCTGTGATTTTAAACAAAATCATGATGGTGACATGTGAACATTTTAAATGGGACAAGCAGAGCCTGGACATCTAGAGATGTGATGTTAGGTGTTGTTCTGCTGCGCAGCCCAGGCAGAACATAACTTTCTGTGACTTAAGTGTTCCTTCTGGAGCCACACAGGGTTCAAACCCCCAACCCCCTGCTTACCCCAGATAGGCAAACGTATTTGTTTTCTAGGGCTGCCATAACCAAATACCACAAACTGCTGGTTTGTAAGAATGAAAATGTATTGTCTTAAGAGTTCTGGAGGCTGGAAGTCCAAGATCAGGGTATCTATCAGCTAGGCTGATTCTTCCTGGGGCTTTGGAGAAGAATCCATTCCATGTCTCTGGTGGCTCCAGGTATACTACCAGGCTGGCAGCTGCAAGCATTCTCATGACGTCTGTCTTCTGTCTTCCAAGAAAGATACTACTCAGGTTGAATTAGGACCAGTGTTGGATTATCCAAAAAGCAAGGTAAGCACAGGCTTACTTACTAACCTGAGGTGAACAACTTCACATCTTTCATCACATCAAAGTTTCTGCTTCTAGGTACGGCAGGCATCTGTCTCTCTGCCAGTCCCACACCACCTGCCTATAGAATCAAAGTCTCTTTCCAAGTTGACAATCCCTGACAGGGACAGAGGACCCAGGAAACAAGGTAAGGACAAACAGTTTCCTTGTGCTTACTTACTATTTCATAATGAACGACTTCACATGAGTTTCACCACATAATGTAACGTGGTGAAAAACATACGAAATTGTTCACTCCAGATTAGTAAATAATCACAAGGAAATCTGTGCTTACCTTGCTTAATGGGTATTTTGCCCCTGATAAGACCCACCCTATGGGGAAGCACGGTGGCTCTATACGATAAATAATGGACTGCGAACCACAAGGTTGGCAGTTAATTCCCACAAAGATGTACAACCTAAGAAACCCTATACAGGGTTGCTATGAGTCAGAACCAACTCACCAACACTTAATAACAGCACCACCATTCCAGTCTGATTTCATGCTAGCTTAACTACTAATGCCTTTAGGGACCCTATTTTACACTTACACGTACAGGGTGTAGGTGTTCAATGTATCTTTTGTGGGGAACACAATTCAGCCTATAACAGAAATGCTTGAAAGTAGCAGTTTTACTTGGACAGAGGCCTGTCAGAACACAGGGAAATAAACCAGTGAGTCCCTGGGTCCCTGAGAACCCCCAGCAATGACAATCAGACCAACAAGTCTATTGTTGTTAAGAGCCATCGAGTTGATTCCGACTCATAGCAATCCTGATAAGATTTCCAAGGAGTGGCTGGTGAGTCAGAACCTCAGATCTTGCCATTCAAACCAACCTGGTTGTCTAGTGCTTAACCTACAGTGCCACAGATGACTGATATTGACCACAGATGAATGCAGGCAGCATCTGTGGGTAGAGCAACTGGTCAGGTTACAGATCTGAGGTGACCACCCCACCTCCCCCCTATGGGCTGGGCTGGGAGGACCTGTATTGATGGACACAGTCACAAGCCCACTGCTCTCTCTGTCATGAGGTCAGGCATGCTAAGTCAAGTGAACTCTCATTGTCAGAGCAGAAATAAACACCTGCTGTATGTCCACTGTAGCCACCACCACTACCCCTTAGCTTTCACTCTCCAACCTGTCAGCTGCTAGACACATCTGGCTATTTAAATGAAATAAAATGTAAAATTCAGTTTTTCGGTGTTACATATGCAAGTGTGCTCCCCAAGGATATGTTGAAGTCCTGAGCTCTGGTACCTGTGAACATGACCTTGTTTGGAACTAGGGTCTTTGAAGATGTTACAAGGTATCCTGAGGTCAGACTGGAGTAGGTTAGGTCCTAATGCAACCTGAGCGGTGCCTTTATAAAAGAGAAGAGATACAAGAATACCATGTGACAGGGAAGCAGGAATGATGCGGCTGCAAGTCAAGAATTGCCTGCAGCTACCTGAAGCTGGCAGAGATAAGAAAGAAGCCACCCCCTAGAGATTTTGGAGACAACACCCTGACTTCAGACGACAGTAAGTCCCTAGGTTATGAACGTCTGACTTACAGACAACCCATACTAGCCCACTATAATAAGTAGATTTGCCCTCACTTTGAAAGAATTGATTCAACCCTATTCACAACAAACTCTTTACCACAATTACCTTCACTTGCTGCATGTACAGCTTTTAAATCATGGAAAAGGCTTTGTGTCTTTTCTTTCACTAAAGTCAGGATAAACAAGAACTACATGCACTGTTCTGACTTACCAACAAATTCAACTTAAAGACACACTTAGGAACAGATCTCTTTCGTAACCTGGGGAATGCTTGTACTTGCCTCTAGCACTGTGAGCCACTACATTGCTTTCATTTGAAGCCATCCAGTTTGTAATGCTTTGTTCTGGTAGCCTTGGGAAATAAATACTGTTAGTTACACTAGTGACATATCCAGAACTCAATATGCACAGGGAACTGTGTAGGACAGTGTTGCCTGACTGCATGAACCCAGGGCTATATGACTCCAAAGCTCATGTACATTTCATAGCTTCCAGTTTATCCTCATAAAAGTCCTTGGAGACACACAGGACAGGAGCTGTTAGCTTTTCATAAAGGGAGAGAGTGAACACCTAGAGCAAAATGTTCCAGAGGAGTGCCACCTAGGAGCCTGGGCTCGTCCACCAACTCATGTGTTCTCCTGGCAAATCCCTTCCCTCTCCAGGCCTCAATTTCCCCATCCATTTAGGAAAGGTTGTCACAGAGCCCCTGGACACTGTGGGGCTCTGCTACAGGAGACAAGAAGAAGAACACTTTTATCTATTTCATTATCAAAACCAAAACACACTGCCACTGACTCATAGTGATAACGTAGGGATGGGGAACGTCCGGTTCGTGAAATCATTTGGTCTGACCCTGCCAAGACAACTGCAGTTCCGGCCATCACATTGTTAATGTTAAGTGTCACTGAGTTAGTTCCGACTTATAGAGATCCTGTACAGGGTTTCCAATGAGCAGCTCGTGAGTGGAACTGCGGACCTTGTGGTCCAGTGCTTTTCCTACAGCGTCATACCAGGACTTTAGTTAATTAAATGTTTGACTAGATATAGCTGGCTAATTTTTAAATTGATAATTTTGTATGGCCCATGAATGATGCTATAAATTTTGGCAGAGAAAAGGATCTCCACCCCTGCTATACAGGATTACAGAGACTGTAAATCTTTACAGCCTCATCTTTGTCCCATGGAGTGACTGGTGGGGTTGAACCACCAATCTTTCTGTTAGCAGCCCAACACCTACTAACCGAAATTTAGACACGACAAAGTTTCTGTTGCTTCTAGTTTGAGAACCATGAGCTCTCTCCAGGTCTCTTGTGCCTGGCTACTGTTGATTTTCCTGTGGCCCCCTAACGCAGGCTTCGCATCCACAGCCCAGTCCCCCACCTCATCCCCATTTAAAAACTGGAGAAAACACTTCTGCTTATGTTAAAAAGTAACTGCCTTGCCATTCCTCTGACCTGCAGTACTGGGCTCTCCTCAAAGTTGTAGGCACTGGGCCGGCCCTCCAGGGTGGAGAATGCCACGTTGCCTCCACTCAGTGGGGAGATGTCGCTGAACTCGGAGGTGCAGAAGGCCACATGCTCATCCTCTCCTGGGCGCAAGTACAGGCCCTCCGGCTGGCCGTAGGTCTTCTGGCAGGAGGCGCTATAGTACTGGTAGGGCTCCCAGGGGCCACCAGCATGGCTGCGCTTATAAATGGCGAAGCTCTCAGGACGACTGGTGTGGAACTTCAGCCGCACGTAGGTGATTTCATACGCCTTGCCTGCAACCAGGAAGAAACGGACCCAGTTTACAGAAGGGAAGGGAAAGTTGGAATCCTGGTTCAGGGAGAGCAGCAAGGTGGCATTGTATAAACTACCTTGATGGAGTGTTAAAAGCTGTCTCTCCTCTCTGGCTCCTGAGCCTGCCACACCGCTGCCACCACTCATGATTCACAGCCTTCCTTACATACTCAATAGGGATCACTTTAGTCCTCTGCTGACGTAGCTTGGCTCTATGTAAAAGCTAAAACTATAAAACTCTTAGAAGAAAATATAGAAGTAAATCTTTGTGACCTTGGGTTAGGTGAAGCCTCCTTAAATAGAATACTAAAAGTGACAATAGAAAACTTGGACTTCATCAAAATTAAAAAAAAAAGAAAAAAAAACAAAACATTTGTGTTTCAAAGGATGTTGTCATTGTTAGGTGCCATCGAATTGGTACTGACTCATAGTGACCGTATGAACAGATTGAAAAATTGTCTGGTCCTGGGCCAACCTCACAATCGTTGCCACAATTGAGTCCATTGATGCTGTCACTTTGCCAATCCATCTCGCTGGGGGTCTTCCTCTTTTCTCTCACCTTCCACCTTACCAAACATGGTATCCCTCTCCAGTGACTGGTCCCTCCTGACAATATGTCCGAAGTATAAGAGAGGAAGCTTGGCCATCCTGGCCTCCAAGGAACACTCTGGCCGCACTTCTAACAGAGATCTGTTTATTCTTTTGGCAGCCCATGGCACTTTCAATATTCTCCTCCAACACCATAACTCAAAAGCATCAATCCTTCTATAGTCTTCCTTATTCAATGTCCAACTTTTGCATGCATATGAGGTTATTGAAAATACCATAGCTTGCTTCAGGCTCACCATAGTCCTCAAGCCAACATCTTTGCTCTTCAACACTTTAAAAAGGTCTTGTGCAGCAGATTTGCCTAATGCAATATGTCACTTGATTTCTTGACTGCTGCTTCCCTGAGTGTTGATAGTTGATCCAAGAAGAATGAAGTCCTTGACAATTTCAATCTTTTCTTTGTTGAGAAGAACGTTGTTTATTGTTTTGGTGAGGATTTCTGTGTTCTCTACATTGAAATGCAATCCATACTGAAGGCTGTGGTCTTTGATCTTTATCAATAAGTATTTTAAGTCCTCTTCACTTTCAGTAAGCAAGGTTGTATCATCTGCATATTGCAGGTTGTTAATGAGTCTTCCTTCAATCCTGATGCCACATATTTCTTCATATAACCGAGCTTCTTGGATTATTTGCTCAGCATACAGTTTGAATAAGTATGGTGAAAGAATACAACCCTGTCGTGTACCTTTCCTAATTTTAAATCATTCATGTTCCCATATTCTCTTCGAACAACTGCCTCTTGGTCCATGTACAGATTCCTCATGAGCACAATTAAGTGTTCCTAAAACTCATACTTCGCAATGCAGTCCATAACTTGTCATGATCCACATAATCGAAAGTCTTTGCGTAGTCAATAAAGCACAGGTATACATCTTTCTGGTATTCTCTGCTTTCAGCCAAGATCTATCAGACATCATAAATGATATCCCTTGTTCCACGGCCTCTCTGAATCCAGCCTGAACCTCTGGAAGTTCTCTATCAATGTATGCTTGCAGCCGTTTCTGTATTACCTTTAGTAAAACTTTACTCACATGGGATATCAAAGATATTGTCTGATGATTTCTGCATTCCATCGGGTCACCTCTCTTTGGAATGGGAACAAATACAGATCTCTTCTAATCAGTTGGCCAGATAGTTGTCTTCCAAATTTCTTGGCATGGATGAGAGTGAGTGCCTCCATGCCACCTTACTTTCTTAAAAGATTTCAATTTGTATTCCATCAGTTCCTGGCACCTTGTTCTTTGCCAATTCCTTCAATGCACCTTGGACTTCTTCCTTTGGTATCATTGGCGCTTGATCATATGCTACCTCTTGAAATAGTTAAACATCAACCATTTCCTTTTGGTACAGTGACTCTGTGTATTCCTTCCATCTTTTTTTTTTTTTTATTAAATGTTTTTATTTTGGATTGAGTGAAAGTTTACAAGGCACATCATCAGCTTCACATTCAACCATTCATATAGCTTGTTTCATTACATTGATTATTATCCCCTCCATATATCATCAGTTAACAGTGTTTCTCTCTATCCTCTTTAGCTTTTTTTTTTTGGAGGGGGGGACCTTGCCTTTTGGGAATTTATAGTCTTGGCTTTTAGGGAAGGTTTTTACATTTGTCTGTGGATATCCAGTGCTCATGTATGAGATTACTAACAAGCATTACTGAATAATCAGATGAGAGACAGTTTGCTATGTCTACTAGGTGGCTAAAGTCTGATCCTCAGAGCCTATGGTTTGGACGGTTGACAACCCTTGGGCCCACAGGGTCTTGACCTCCTGACCGGGTCTGCCTTCCATCTTCTTTTGATGCTTTCTGCATCAATCAATAATTTGCCTATGGAATCTTTCAACAATTAAAGTTGAGGCCTGAATTTTTTCTTCAGTTCCCCCAGCTTGAGAAATGCTGAGTGTGCTCTTCCCTTTTGGTTTTCTTATTCCAGATTTTTGCACATTTCATTGAATATTTGACTTTGTCTTTTCAAGCTGACCTTTGAAATTTTCAATTCAGCTCTTGGACCTCCTCATTTCTTTCATTTGCTTTAGCATCTCTATGCTGGAGAGCAAGTTTCAGTGCCTCTTCTGACATCAGTTTTGATCTCTTCCTTCTTTCTTGTCTTCTTAATGACCTTTTTTTAAAAAAAAATGTTTTATTGTGAATTATGTGATAGTTTACATGGGAGAAAATTACCTTTACATTCATCCTATCATGTATCATTTCACTGCCATGGTTATAATCCCCTCCCTTAGTGACCATTTGCTTTCTTCCTGTATTATGTTCTTGATGTCATCCCACAACTCTTCTCGTCTTCGGTCTTTAGTGTTCAATGTATCAAATCTATTCTTCAGATGATCTCCAAATTCAGGTGGGATATATTCAAGCTCTTATTTTGGTTCTCGTGGACTTGTTTTACTTTCCTCTGCCTCAGTTTGAAATTGCATATGAGCAATTGATGGTCTGTTCCACAATCTGCCCCTGGCCTTGTTTTGGCTGATGATATGGAGCTTTTCCATCATCTTGTTACACAGATGTAGTCAGTTTGATTTCTATGTGTTCCATCTGGTGAGGTCCATGTGTATAATCATCTCTTATACTCTCTAAAGAAGGCATTTGAAATGAAGAAATCATTGGTTTTGCAGAATTCTATCATGAGATCTCCAGGATCATATCTATCACCAAGGCCATATTTTCCAACCACTGATCCTTTCTCTTTGTTTCCAACCTTTCAAAGGATACCAGTGAAAAAAATGAAAACAAAAAATACCTACAGAACAGGAGAAAATATTTGCAAATCATGGAAGAAAATATTTGCAAATCATGTATCTTATAAGGGATTCATATAGAAGTCTTACAATTAAATAATAAAAAGACAAATACCCCAATTATCTTTCTCCCAAAAAAAGGATATATCAGTGGCCAATAAATACATGAAAAGATGCTCAACATCATTAGCTATCAGGAAAACCCTAATCAAAACTATAATGATTCTGCAGAGTATAGTTGTTCGTTGCCATCAAGTCGGGTTTCAACTCACAGCGGCCATGTGCAACAGAGTAGAGCGTCCCCATGATTTTCTTGTCTAAAACCCTGATAAAAGCAGATCACCAAGTCCTTCTCCAAGTGCAGTTCAAATAACTGGGTAAATTTGAACTGACTTTCAATAAGCAGCTGAGCCTCCAATACTTGTACCACCAGTGTTCCTATCCCCTTAACGACTTGACTTGAATTGATGTCCTTGAGACACAGTAGAATGATCACTGGACATGAGTGAATCTGGGTTCTTATTTTGGCTTTGTATCTAACATTGACAGATTCTTTGATTAAATAAATTCGCCTTTCTCAAAAAAAACTATAATGAGATATCACCTACTAGGATAACTAGAATCAAAGGGTAGATCATAATAAATGTTGTTAAGGGTATGGGGAAGTTGGAACCCTCGTCCAATACTAGTAGGAAAGTCACTTTGGAAAATAGTCTGGTGGTTCCACAAACTGTTAAAAAGAATAGAGCTACTATATGATCCAGCAGTTGTACTCCTATGTAAAGAAATAGGTCCATACAAAAATGTGTGTCCAAATATTCATAGCACCATTATTTATAATAGTCAAAAAAGTAGAAACAATTCAAACATCCATCAACTAATGAATGAATAAGTAAAATATAGTACCGATCATAGAAAAATTGATGCATTTGAGTTATGGTGTTGGAAGAGAATATTGAAAGTACTGTGGGCTGCCAAAAGAACAAACAGATCTGAACTGAAAAAAATACAGCTAGAGTGCTCCTTGGAGACCAGGATGGCCAAACTTCATCTCTCATACTTTTAGTCACTAGAGAGGGATATCATGTTTGGTAAAGTGGAAGGTCAGAGAAAAAGAGGAAGACCCCCAACAAGATGCATTGGCAAAGTAGCAGCATAAATGGGCTCAAGCGTGGCAACAACTGTGAGGTTGGCCCAGGACTGGGCAGTATATCATTCTGTTGTGCAAAGGGTTGGTACCAACTCGATGGTACCTAACAATAAAAAATACAATAGAATATTATCTGGCAATAAGTAGGAATGAAGTCTGGATACACGCTACAGTATGAATGAACATTAAAAACATTATAGAAGAAACCAGTCACCAAAGGTGACGTATTATATGATTCAATCTAGAATAAGCTAGCACACAGAGTGAAACATTTGATTACTAACTGAAAAGTTGGCAGTGGTTAAAACCCACCAAGAGGTGCTTTGGGAGAAAGGCCTGATGATCTGTTCCCAAAAGGTCACAACCTTGAAAAACCCTGTGGACCTATGGAGTATATTTCTACTCTGCTCATGGATCACCATGAGTTGGAATTGACTAAACAGCAATTGTTTTTGTTTTGTTTTG